ATTAACAAACTTATAAAGTAACAGTCTAATACCATATTTATTTTTATATTACCTATCAATTAGTACTTTCATTTGTTTATAAAAAAATAAAAACTGGGTTTACCAAGCAATAATGTAAGTGAACATGGGGCTGTACTATTTAGTCCATCACTGAAGGATTATACTTGCCACTTAAATCACTCAGTAGGGCAACATTTCCGGTAACTACTTCATCACTTCGTAGAAGAAATGTAGTAGGCTACATAATTTATCATCAATCTGTAATTATACCTTTTGCTCAGACAATGTTAATAGAAATACAAAACAAAAAAAAATCCAATTCTCTGTGGTAATTTTGATGGTATTTAAGTGTTTTCAAGTCTTCATTAAGCAAATTAATTTTTTAATATGCATTAAAGCCAACACTGTCCTCTTAATAATTAGTAAAAGTCTAGAAGAAAACTTTGCCCCAATCAACACAGGGGTATCCGTTTAGTTTAAATAAGGCCATAATTTGAAGCCACATATTTAGTCAGTGAATCACAGTGAAGCTAAAAAGGGAAAGCTACTATTACAGCAAAATTGTTGAGGATGAACTTTATAATATTCCAGTTCTTCACATTTTCATGTGCATTTCCAGAGCTGCATTCCTCAAACTGAAAGATTCAAGATTCTCCTATTGTTCAAGCAATTTTCAACACAAAACTAGAAATATATCACAAGTATGTGGCCTCCAATATTCTTAGATATCAGAATCACCAATGACCATCCCCAGAGACCCCTCTGATCAAACAGAAAACATTTAGTAATTTCAAAAATATTCAGCTATTACTTATCCTTGATTTCCAAAGCAAGGAATTTCCAGCAAAATGTGGAAATTTAAGGGTGTCTCTTCAGCTTAATTATTCATGCATTACAGGTAAGGCAAAGGCCACAACACCCTTGTCTGTCCCCTCATCACAAGGATATACAGTTACTGTTAGTTGAACATAATTTTTTTTCCATTATTCCAGACATTTGCAGATTACCTGAAAATTACTCAGCATTCTAGTAATATTTCAGTATTTTTCTTGGTCATCAAAAATTCTGTTGGATTAAGCAACTTCAGATCCTTGGTATTCTTTATCTAAAAGCTCTGTTTTTCCTACTCCAAAAGGATTAGTTCTGAATGGAACATGCACGCTTACTGCCCATTTGTTACTACTCTTTGTAATCAACTCTGACAGAGAAGTTACCACCACAGACTGCCTAACAAAGGAGAAGCTGGACTGCAATGCAAGTACTGCAACGTAATACAGGAAAAGTCAAAGAAATTACTTTAATTACAGGCCGTTCCTTCTCAGTTACCTCCTCTTTACTCTCTACGGTGCTTAAGACCCTGATCCCAATCTACACCCTCAAAGCACCTAAGATGCAGACCTCCACTTCCTCTTAATGACTCAGAGGCACAATTTAACCTCAAGACAAGGATATCTTATCAAGCCTACAGTGACATTAAAGGTCCATAGCATGCTATTACCTCACAAAAATTGTGATGTCGGAGTTACAGATGTACATTTGTGTATGATTCAGAGGATATGAAAACGTGGCCCCGTTGAGAAAACAATGAAGGCAAAACAACTGAGAGTGTTAGTGGTGAAGAGTGTAAGTCAAAAGAAGCTTGGAGACTATTCTTACCAGCTTTTGTAGTTTTCTTGATTTTATCCTTAACAGCATTATAGCAGTCAACAAAGGAAGTAAAAATCTCACTGCAATTACACTGATAAGAAATTATCTTAAGAAACTTTAGGTTGAACTTTTGTGTGAACTAGGAAAAAAAGGAATCAGCAAAACTTGTACATGACAAAAATACCTTTAAAAACACTTTTATTATTAAACACTGTTGGTCTTTGAAGGAAGAGCAAGTTTTTCTAGGATGTGCATTGAGTTTCATTTGGTAATCAGATATAAACAATACAATAAAGCTTAGATAAAAGCAACTCTGCAAGCCATGCTTAAGTCACTTGATAAATCAAGAAAACATGATCTATTAGAGACAAAAACCTCTGTATTTTCATTTTCTGAAATAAAGACATTCCTAGCCCTTTCAGAAGGCAAATCATCTATTAAAATTGCCATCTACTGAAAAAAAATAAATCTTTTTCAGCATCTCAGTCTTTACATCTCCTTGATATTAGAATAAGTGGGTCTTGTTTCTTAGAATGGTGATTAATAAACACCTTCAGCATTCAAACTCACAAAAATGTACTGAAGCACAGACTTTGCAGAATCATAGTTTTTTACTCTTTTCCTTAATTGAGACAGCTAACACTGTCGCATTTTTTAGGAATTTTTCCTTTTTAAATGTTTAAGAGATGCGAATCATGGTATTTGACCATCTAGCTAAGGAAAGGCCATATTCAGCCTAAGTGATATTGAACTACATGCATATGAGTCAAACAGTTATTCATACCCAGGATTATTCAAGAGGTCTAATGTCTGAATCATTATTTGTCCTAAACTCAGTCTGTTCAAAGCATGAACCTCATTTAAATTTTTCATCAGCTGCATTTACTCTCCCTAAATTATTCAGTTCTATAAGCGTTTTGGATTCCACATAAAAACACAAACCTCTGAGTCTTCCTACTCTGATTAGACTACGCATTTGCACAGACAGCTGCCCTGTCCATACGCAAACTACAGCATTCAACTACTAGAAAAGCTTTTTGTTAAGACAAACGTTCAAGCATAGTGACAAAAAACCGCCACAAACTCCCAAACAACCCATATCGTACAGTTTTACAAAACTCCTGAGTTTAATGCTAATAAGTAAACACTAATGACTAAGAAAACAGTTTTAGATCTATCATCCTGAAAAGCAGAGACAGTGTTACTAGACTCTACACATAGAGAGGTAAAGAAACTCATTGTCACTTTAAAGATGGAAGTAATCAAGATTAACTCTTTTCTAAAGAGAGCCCAAATGAATTCTGAAAATAAAATGAATATACATATGCGTTTGAAGTTCCCCATATCGCCTCCCCTACATTAAATAAGTTTGTTCCTAACAAAATTCTGAGTTAAAGACACCCAAGGATTACTAAAATTTGATGGGTGTGACAACAATATACTAAACCAGAATACAGGGTTACCTCACAGTTACTTTAGGGCAAGTACTTTGGTCATGTATCCCAGCTAACAGACCTGAAATCTGAGAGCTTCTAACTACCCATGACAAACTCTTATTTGCAAACAGCTAGGTAGACAAACCGATACCAATCCACCTCTAGGAGTAACGTGGGAGGACGCTGATGACATCTTCGAAGGCTAATTACATTTGCCAGAAGCCTGAGATCATCTCCAGCCCTTTGCTACACTGACACCCATTTCCAGAAGGTGAAATCAAAGAATACCGAATTCATTTGCATCCAAAGTACTTCTCACTTTTCACAAACAGGACTTGCAAATAAAGCTGGGTAAGAGTTTTGCCAAAATACTTACAGAGTAATAGAGAACAAGGCTGAAAATTACGCTGGGAAGTCATCTTACATTAGGATCACTCATACCTATATCACCTGTATGGTTACATGAGTCATGAATCAGGATAGTACTCTGCTATTTTTAATCTACAAACATGTAATAAGATGATGTTCCCAACTTGCAAAAGCTTTACTTACCAGATTGCAAAACCAAACTTACCAAAAAGACACATCACTACCAAGATAAAAACAGCTAGAGGCATACATAAATTAGACAATGATGGTCACCATGATAAAGCACAACCTCAACACAGCAGCACCACTGACATTGTCAAGAGTTGTCCAAAAATAAAACAAAGAAACAAAAGAACCCAGAGAGTATTAACGACCTTTTTTTTTTTTTTTTTGACAGATACTGAGATATTTGTACGAAAGTTTACAGGCTGTTCATTCCGAGAGTTAGAGACATCATGTGAAAAAAAGCTGCACATTGTGTGGTTGAAAGATCAGTAAGCAGGAGATAGAAATTAACATCGTGCCCTGATCGACGGCAAGATATTCCCCTTGCATATCGCCTGAGAGACGGGAGGTGCAGACGGGCGGTGAGGCATGTTCCTTCCCTTCGGGCATGTCCAGTTCCTCGGGCACATCAGATGCAAAACGAGTCAGCAGCAACGCAACTGCCATCCCTGCCGTTACAAGCCCACACAGCCGCCCAGAAGCCAGGCACAGCGCGGGCTCAGCCTGCGCCTCATCCCGGCCCCGGGCAGCCAACTCCCCGGCCCACGGGGCGCCCCCAATAACGGCTCCCAGCCCCCAAAATCCTGAGGGAAAGCGACGGAACCCCGCGGCACCCAGCCCCCAAATCCTGAGGGAAAGCGGCGGAATCCCGCGGCACCCAGCCCCCAAATCCTGAGGGAAAGCACCGGAACCCCGCGGCACCCAGCCCCCAAATCCTGAGGGAAAGCGGCGGAACCCCGCGGCACCCGGCCCCCAAATCCTGAGGGAAAGCGGCGGAATCCCGCGGCGCCCGGCTCACAAAATCCTGAGGGAAAGCAGCGGAACCCCGCGGCTCCCGCCCGTCAAACCCCTTCCTCACACACACACCGAGCTCGCCCCGCCACACCGGCCCCAGGGCTGTACGAAACCCGCTCCCCCTCAGGCGCAGCCACCACAGAGTTTAGCCGCCCGTAACGAAAAGAAAAGAATAAAGAAAGGAAAAGGAACGGACATCCATCGGGGGTACAGGGCCGTGCTTCGCCACCGTTTACCTCAGCCAGTGGATGAAGCGCTGGCGACCAGCACCGCCGCCCGCCACAGGCCCCGCCGACGCGCCGCTCGCCACTTCCGTGTAGGGGGGAGGCAGGGCGGCGCCCATTCAGCGCCGCGCGCGCACTGCGCATGCGCTCCCCCCCCGCCCCGCGGCGGGGCGGGAGGCGCGAAGCGGCGCCCTCAGGTTGTGGCGGTCGGTGATGGGCTCGGTCTCGCTGCCTCGCCCCCGCCTGCGGCTTCCAGCACAGCTCGGGAAACGAGTGTTCGTCGGGAGCCAGGTGCTTTCTGAGGCAGGGCCCCGCGGCCAGAAGCGGGAGTGGGTGGATTCCTGTCATAAACCGAAGAACCCTAGTGCGGCTGGGAGCACTGGCCTCCCGGCGCTGTGAGGGCTCCTGCTTCAGTGTTGGTGTTCACCTCCCTTTCCCAGCGCTTTGTTAGCGCTCTGGGGCAGCGCAGAGGATCCCTAGCGGAGTATTCCTGGGGCTCGCCAGCTGAAGCCGTAGAGAGTGGCCGCCTCCTACCAAGAACAGCGCTTGGGGTCAGTCATGCTGAAGGCGCTGTCAGCCCTTCATTTCCTTGCTTTACTCTGGCGCTGAGGGGAGTGTTGCCATCCTCTGCTGAAGGCACTGTTAGCCCTTCATTTCCTTGCTTTACTCTGACGCTGAGGGGAGCGTTGCCATCCTCTGCAGGCACAGCCCGGGTGAGAGGCCGTGGGGAGGGACGGAGAGCCCATGGCCGTGCAAGCAGTGCCTGTCCCGAGTGGGCCGGGGGATGTGTGTGTGGGTGTGTGTGTTTCATCCCTCCGCGCCGCCAGGGGGCGCGCGTCCCCCCCCGTCCGCCGGGAGGGCGGCGTTGCGCTTGCGCGGCGGTTCGAACGGGATGGCGGAGGCGGCAGGGTGAGGGAGGGATGAGGGGGTTTCGCTCTCCGTCTTCTCGCTCGTTGCTCGCTGCCGTTGTCATTTCTCGTTCTGTCTTTGCAGGATGTCTGCGTTTCCCGGCGGCTCCAATACTACGGTGGTGGGCGGAGAAGTGCCGAAGAATAAACTGAAAGGTAGCTGTGGGGTGAGGGGGGAGCCCGCCCTGGCTGAGGCGGGAAGCGCGGCGCCGGGCCTGCCTGAGGTCTCTTTGCTCCTTCTTCAGGAGGAAGAATCGTGAAGTCTCGCTACCTGCAGTACGATACAAAAGACACGAAGAAGGTACTGGGGCGCCTCGCTGCCGAGCTCGGGCGTCTCAGCAGTGGATAGAAATGGTGTGAGGGGCGGCTTGGACGTGTGGCTGCGAGACCTAAGCAAAAAATAACTGCTGGGGTTATGAGGGAGTCGTGGTGTATTGCTAGGTGCATACTGGGATGGGATATTGGGACCGTACTCTGGTGACTTGCAAAGCACCATGATGCTTTGGGATTGTACTTGTTTACTGTCAGCGTTCAAGTTGGAGGCAAGATATGCTGGTGATCACAATTACTGCTTATGGTCAATCTTATCTGTTTCTTGATTGTCAGGATACTCCAACAAATTCCTTTTCCACGTCTCCTTCTAGACCGTCTTTTTCAACTAAACCAAGATCAGTACATCCTCAGAAACATGACATTTCTGCTGGTAGGTTTTACCACAACTTAAAAGCTATTATTTTGTGAATTTGTATTTCCAATCTGTGGAACTCTAAAGTGTTGTTAAGAGATGATATTTTGTATTACTTCATCAGTGCCAGTTGTTATCTGTATACAGAGAACATTAAGAAACTTGATGTGGGATTAAGAGGTGTAAACTCAAGTGCATTAAACTTTTGTCAGTTTGTCTAATAGAAAACTACTCTGGAATTGAGTGATTGGGTTGTCTAAAATAAGAATATTTCTTGCCTTCTGCACAAGGCTTTGAACTAATTTTTTACTCTGCCTTCACCATTGCCCCACATTTTTTATTTTAATCTTTTTAATAACACCTGTGTAAATGACTGAAAATCCCTGTATGCAAAACAGTCTGTTTTTTTTTCTTTTGCAAGAATTGCAAAAGAATTTTCTGGTAAGACCTTGATTGGACTTGAAAATCTTGAAGAAATAACATTATTCCCTTTTCACATCTGTGTGTTATTGTTGAACTGTTAAATGTTTAAGAAGATAACATTCTGAACTACATTATCTCTAGGGAAATTAGCAAGTATACAGATGATATATATAAAATAAATGTGTAAAAGTTTGCATAAGGTTGCCACATTAGTGAAAGCATATATTTGCAAACTTGTGCAGAATACGTTCTAATTATTTTAGTTTGACAATAGCTTCTTTCTACAGGTGTTGACTCTAGCTTATTCAGTGAGAGTAGTTTTGAAAAAGATGACTTGCAGTCCACTTTATTAGATGAAGATGAACTTATACAACCACAGCTTGACATTTCAGCTATTAGTGGTAAGCTTTCACTCCTCAGTTTTTTGTTTTATTATTTTTAATGTGTGTGCTGTAACTTGATGATAAGTAATCCTTGTGTTCTATACTTGCAGAAGAATTTTGTCAAATAAGGTGAATGTTATTTCAAGAGTCTTTAAGCAGAGAGGTATTAAGAACTTTAGGGTTTAAATTAACCTCTCGATTTGTAGTATCCTTTGGGTGCTCTGTTCTTTTACTTTAAGATCAAATATTGAAGAACAAAGTGTTAAAGAAGAAGTCGTTGTTCCTAATACAGATGGGTGTTACATTATCAGCCCTTTTGAAAACTGCATCACATCTATCTGTAACTGTCACTTCAAGCTAAATGTTCATGCGATCCCCATCTCATGAGTATCATCATCAAAGCCAGAAACAGAGCACACGTTTTCTTTACTGGTACACAAAATAATTTTGAAATTATCCTGGCCTTTGAAGAACCTGATGGTATGTTGACCCACCCTATATACTTTGGTAGAAGAGAACAATAACTTTTCTCTTGTGATACAGATAAAACTGTCCATGAAAAGTCTCCTAGCTCACAATCTGATGGCAAAGAAGATACAGAAACATATGAAGACCTAGAAGAAGTGGTGAGTGTCACTGCTTTCAATTGTTACACGTATGTATTTTGAAATGTGAAATGAAGATTTTCTGTTTATCTTTAATCTTGTTAACAACTTTGAGGTCCTGGGATGATCTAAAGCCTCCTGGCAGAAGTCAGAGGATAAGTCTGTTCCACTGCTAGCAATGTTTGTTTTGTTTATAAGATGTTTCAACACTGACCAAAGCTTTGTTTCTGTTTCTTGTGGTAAAGAATCTGCTCCAATTGTAGCACCTCTAAATGGATTCTTTTTGTATTTCTGTCCGTGCTTTTTAATTATATCACATGATCTTTAAATATGTTCTGACATTTTTTGCTTAGAAAACTAACATTGATTCAGCCTAATTTGAAGTGCCTTATTTAGACATCTCATTCAAAGTAGCAGTGAAACTTTAAGTTCTCTATCAATATTAAGAAAATCTGCTGAAAATGTTATTAAAAAATGGTGGAACAAAAAGATTTATATAATTAACAGGTGTCATTTAAAAACCCACACTTTTTTCATCAAGCTGACTGATGATGATGATGATTCTGGGCACAAATTCGACTTTCAGTCCAATTTATTTGAACATTATAAAAATAATTGTTTAGATACCAAAATTGATCTGGTATATTCTTTTCTTTTCTGAAGGAAGATGATTCTGATCCTCTGATATCAGAGCTGGAATCTCGGACACTGCTTTTGACTTACCTAAGAGTAAAGGTGAGTCAGTCAAGTATTTGGTGTATCAGGTAGAAGAACATGGTATTAAGGAATTGTTTACTTTCTGGTCTATGCTTTCTGATTCATAAAAGTTAAATTTTTGTGACTTTATATGTTTATGATTGTAAAACTCTGACTTGTTTGAAAACTCTCACAGAGTGAAATCAGTGCCAGTTTATTAAGTTGGTGCTGGTTCGTCATGAAGTGGGGTATGTTGGGTCCGACTGAGATGGAGTTAATTTTCACCCTAACCACCCTCATGGTGCTGTGCTGTGTCCTGGTAGCCAGAAAGGTTTTGATAACACACTGGTGTTTTGGCTGCTGCTGAGCACTGCTGGCACAGCATCAAGGCTGTCCCTCCAACATTTTCCCCACCCCCACAGGCTGGGAGTGTGCAAGATCTTGGGAAGGGATGTAGCCAGGACAGCTGGCCCCAACTGACCAAAGGGAGATTCCATACCATATGACGTCTGCTCAGCAATAAGCTGAGAGAAAGGAGAAGGAAGGAGGGGCATTTGATATTTACGTTTGTCTTCTGGAGCAAAGCAGACAAAATGTCTAAAGCAGGAGATGGCCGGACATCACCTGCTGATGGGAAAACAGAAGATTTTATTCTCTACTTCCTTTGCTTTTGCTTTATTAAACTGTCCTTATCTTGACCCGCAAGTCATTCATCACAGTCTCACTCCCCTGTCCCATTGAGGAGGGGATTGATAGAGGGTCAGCCCACCACACAGAGGTATGTAGAAGTTTGGGGAAGACCCTGAGTAAGTGTGTTTGGAGTTCAAGGTTGTAGCAGTGACTGTTCTTTGTTCAGTCAGTGCTGTATATGTATATTTTTTCCTTTTCAGAAAATACTACCGGGGGTGGGAGGAAGAAGATGGAGTGGGGCTTTAATTATAATGTACTGTGTTTATTGTATGAGATCTAGCATTCATTAATTGCAGCTCTCTGACCTGGTCTGAGGCTTACATTTGTTTATTCAGACTGTTAATTACTTAGATGTAGCATTACTGTAGTTGTGAATATTTTTTGGATGTAATAGGCAGGAAAAAATCTTGCTGAGTTGGAGAAGAAAGCAGAAAAAAACTTACTAATGTTGTGTGAAGAAAAGGAGAGACAACAGGAGAAGCTCTGTGAGTTGAAGCGTGAAATTTTTTTCAAAGAGAGAGAGCAGATACTTGATGATGCACTAGACAAACAGGTAGGCTTCATTACAATTTATGCTTCTCCTATATTTAAACAAGCTCACTTATGAAGTAGTCCTTTATCCAGAGAAGATTCATCTCCTTCTGTAGCCTGCTGGTATACAATTTTATGCATCTTAAAATAAATATCTACTTCCTATTGTGGCATGTAATGCTCTCTAGTAACCTAAGCAAATGCCTTTGTCACTTTTGTGTTGTCCCTTGTGGATAGGCAAAGGGCAGCAATAGCACACTGGCTGCCAAAGCAGTTTACAGTTGATGCACAGGAGATGCAAGTATCTTAAAACCATGTGAACATCCTTACAGCTATGGCTGGAGCTGAGATGCTAACCCTTAGATGAGAAGTGAACATCTTCTGTTCTTTGTCTTATTTTTATATGTTAGACAGCTGTAGTTCTGGCCTGGTTGTAAGAAGGTAAGTTTCTAATGAAGTTCTTGATAATAGGTGATCTTAGAAGCTAAACCCTCCCATCTTTTTCAGTATTTTGTTAGTTCTGTTGTGTCAAATTAAAAGGTAGCACTTTCTGAATAATTAATTTTCAAAACTGAGCCTGTGCTTGCTTTTAACAAATATTCATTGCAAAAATTAAACAAGACTTTTGTCTTCTGGTGAATACAGTGTTAGCTACAGTCAAAGTATCACATACGAAACACTTTGCCTGCTATGTTGCTAATATCTCTGAGATACGGTAACAAGGAAACTGGTATTGACCTAGGTGTTTTGGGGTGGTAGAGGAAAACTTATTAAACGTCATGATAGGGGTATCGTGCCAGAAATGTCTTGAATTCCTCTGTCAAAAAGTATTTCAGAGTGGTACTTGGGGGGTTTTATAAAGTATTTTTCAGTATTGAGCCAGATCTGTACTAACAAAATGGCTGCTTTTGAAGAAGTGTTGGTTCATCGTGTTTCTTTTTCAGATGGAAGTACTTTCTCCCCTTGTTCCTGTTTGTGAACAGTTTAAAGACCAATATAAAAGCTTTGCAGCTTCCCTGGATACCACTAGACATGAATTACCCATAAAGAATATTCACATAGAAGGAGATACACTAACATACCTTGGTATGAAAATTTGATTCATCGGATTTACTTTCAGAAACAGTGGGGTTTTTGGGATGCTAAAATTCTTACGTTGTTATTACTGGATCTATCTGTGGCCACTAGAGGAATTTTGTGTGCTCTTAGAGCTTGCATGGACAGTGGGCTGCAGCATTAGTCACATGTTTTGCTATGAATAATTCATGTCTCTGTTTAACCACTAAACTGTAGTTGAACATGTTTTTTTTGGTCTTGCAGCAGGAAAAAATAAACCAGCTTTCTAAGCTAGGGCTGTCTTCATATACACTTTCTTTAGCAAGTTTCTATCTTTTAACTGTATTCATGGTATTCCTCCTCCTTTCTTGTTCCTAATGGGTAAGCAAGTTGTAGAGATACTGTGATGTCTTCTTGTTTCTATGTTTGAGGGATAAAGTCACATGGGTAGACTTACTCACATTTCCTGTAGAACTAAGGCTTAAATATATGGTGTGATGTCTTGAATCAGTGAACATTTGTTGACTAGATTAGTACTTGAGTTTTGTATTTAAGTCTGGACAAGAAGTTACACTTTTAAACTGTAGGTCTGCAAGAAACAAGACTATTAAACCATTTACAATAATCTTGCTTACACTTTAAAACAAATAGAAAAGGTTTATTGAAGAACAGAATTCTTATAAGAAGCCTTGAAAGGAAACAAATACATATTTTTGGTTTGTAAATGTTAAAGGAAAATTGGACAAGTTTAATGTTGGGGATGCATGCCAATAGCAATATATGTAACTGGCCTGGGAATTTTGGATGTTTAAATATTGTTTTTTCTCTTGCATTTGTTTTGTAAAAATCTTTGTACTCTAAATGAGAACTTGATTAGCAGTTTTAATAGCTTGTTTCTGGTATTAGTCTTCATAGCTAAAAATAATTTGGCTTTCATGGTTTTCTCATAGTGTGTTTGTGAAAGGTCAACAAACAGTAGTTTTCCATCATCTAGTTCACCTATTTTTGTGACCACTGCAACTATTAAGTAATCTTGTATTAACTGATGCCATTGCATGCATTTTTGAATAATATTTTTTAACATCTCCTATTGCAGGTGAACTACAAAAGCAGTTAACTGTCACAAAGGAACTTCTGACAGAAGTTATGCCAAGCTACTCAGAAGAAAGTGAAAAAACATTTAACGTACTGAAAGACCTTAAAGAAGTTTCTCAGAAACTAGATAAAGAGCTTCAAAGGTATTTACAACAACCAGGTGAAAAGACTTGTTTGCTATATATTCAGAGGAAAATCTATAGTCACGCCAGAATATAACCAGAATGTATATTGGAGGAAGATTAACTGGGGAGATAGTAGCACTAAGTTTAATTCTGTTTGTAGCAGACATGGGTGTTGATATCCCTACCCTATCTACAGTCAAAATAAAGATGTTTGTAGCCTTTAGTTTGTGTATTAAAAGTGAACAGCTTTAGTGTGCCATTTTCTGACACTTTTGCTGAGAATTTCCATGAGCAAGAATGGCCACGGTAAAGTGCAAATATGTAGGAGAGTGGAGAACTCCACGAGGCAGAAAAGTGAACTGGAAGTCTTAAATAATAATCATGCAAATATCCTTTAGGAGGTACAAAGAGCACAGAAAAGGGGGTTTTTGCTCAAGTAGTGTGTCAACAAATATGAAATATAACTGAGAGCACAAGGAAGAGATAAAGCATGATAAATTTCCTTTCCTTCCTTCGTTTCCCTAGAGGAGATAATAGTTAAAATCTTGAAGATTAATATCTCATAAAGCCACGTATCTCTCTGTCCTGCAAACTGTCCTCATCTCCTCCAAATTCTAGCCTTTGGAAGAAAATTCACATTTTACATTTTTTCCTTCTGGTGGCTCCATGGTAGGAGAATGATGCGAATGTCCAGGCGCATTGCCTTTGGGGTTAAGCAGAAGTTGTTATCCTCTGGAGTAACTGATTTAGCTTGCTTCATTTGTTCCAGGAGCTTCACAGAAGTGCAGAACCTGTCATTTCAGGTTAGTAAAGAAGTTTCTCTGCATAACCAAAGAATATGTGAAGAGAACCATGGACTAGATGTTGTGAAACGCTGGTACTTCAACTAACTTTATGTATTGTTTTACTAACGAGTGGATACTAAATCAGTGCCAGCAGACTTCTTGTGTGAACGTATAACTTGTTCAGATTTTCAGTTATATCAGAATATGACACCAGCAGCATTGTATGCTTACCAATGTAAGAAATTGAGTTCTCTTCTGCATGTTGTCCAATAAGGAGTCATCTTTTTTTTAGCATGAATTTCTGTGACACCTTTCTCATCACTTTCTGCCTTGACAATAATGAAAGGTAAATAATAATAAATGTAATTCTTAGCAAATATGACCTATGTATTCTTAAACTTCTTGTTTTACTTTCTTGGAACTGGCTTCAAGTACACTGATTTGCATCTCTTTCCAAAGTTGTGTTCGTTAGAGGGCAGAGTGTCGAATATAGGTGTGGACTTGTGTATGTGATACTGTGCATTTGCTGGCCTCATCAGGAGGATCTGTAGGAATGTACAGCATGATGATTGGTCACTCAGTGAACAGCTTCTGGGGGAACTCTTAATTGTCCCTTTTTTCTGGATTTGCTGAGATGAAAAGCTATGTGGGTAGCAAATAATGAGGCTGATGCTTGGAAGGAGCCTGGTCACTTGTAACAAGTGAAAAGTTTTGGTAACTTGTTGCCTAATTGTCTTGGAAACAAATTGTTAAAATCATAAATGCTTTTATATTAACCTGATACCTTCTCATTAGGATTTTATTTATTCTTTCTAATAATAAAGACTATTTTCCACTGCTGTATCAATAGCCTTCATGTCTGAATATCTTCACTGATCTCCCACAGAAGCTCTTGTTTTCATCTGGGCTTACACAGGGCTAACACTACACAATATGTGCAGTGATGGACTTACAGGCACTAAGCAGTGGCACCCAGTGTGCCAAGGCCAGAAGATTGTGATGTGGAGAGAAACCTCAAACCTAACTACTGAGTAAGTGCCTGAGAGCAAGTGTGCTCTGTTACAAACATACATGCTAGGTGCAGCAGTTTTTTCAATGTACTTTCCATTTTTGTGCATGGAATGCATGAAAGACATGCTATATCCTGTTTTTTTTTTTTTTTTCACCTGTGGAACTTCTTTCTGTGACAGTTTTTCAGAAGCTTTGCTTTCTATTTTCTGTTTAGTGTTATATTTTTGGCATAAGCTGTGTCTATAAAGCTTTTTGGCCTGTTCAAAAAATACTCAGAGCTTTTTTCCTTGCACTCTTTGAAGTGTTATTCAAGGTTTCCTCCTGGTATTACTAAGGGTCTAACTAGATTCTTGTCTTTTCCTATTAAAAGTTAGGAGTAAATTAAGCTGTAGTAACTGGATCAATAAAATGTACATCACACTGGGTAAAAATCAATATATAATGAACTAATAAAACCTTCCTTGTATGTAATATCAGTGTCATTTTTTTTCACAGGAACTTATCCATGAGCCAGTGGGAGGGCACTGAGTTATTTTAAGTTATTTATCTATTTCTTCTTCCTCAAACATGTTAGATGGACTGCATCTTATAGTTCACCCCCGTGTGCTGCTGTTCAGTCTGTGAGTTACAGGTGCTTCACGCAGCAGGATCGTGTTCGGGGCCTGGACCAGGAGCTGCAGCTCCAGGGTTGGCCACTGGATGGGGAACTTTGCTAAGCAAGCAAGTCATGGGTTAGCTGCAAATCCGTGGTCTGTTTCTTTTCAGTGGGTGGAGATACTGGTAGAAAGGCTCCTGTATGATAAAACTGCTGGTCAAACAACCGTTTTTCCAAGGTTTGGGTAATTTCTAGGATGTGTGCCCTCATGCCTTTAACCTGCTCATGAAAATGTGTCATTCTGGGACTCAAAAGTCGAGAGGGGTGTTCTTAAATATGAGAGAGATGAACTGAAAATCAAGTTTATAGTGTCTTGATAATTCTGTCTGTGCACAGACATAAGTCAGAGTGTCTTGCCTAGGATTTCTTAATGGTAGACCTCATTGCTGGTCTAAAAAAATTTTTTTAATAAATACTTTTAAATTAAACCGATCCTCTTCTGTCCAGTGACTTTCTACCATTGAGATACTAGTGTGTGTGTACGTATGTATACCCAAATGTTACATAAGCAACAGACAGCAACACAAATTTTCACTATAAAGTAGAATACTATTAGTTTTCTTCCCTGAAGAAGAGTGGCAACGAAAGATTCTGCTTGCTGTGATCACACTGAAAGACTAAATCTTTTGGGGAAGCAGTTCATCCTTTCTACTGCAGATGGCAGCCATTATCTGTACACAAGCCTAAAGCAAAGGGGGTCCTGGAGCTAAAGGCCAACTGCATGTACAAAACAATGAAGTGCTTGGGGATGTGCACTCATTGTTTCAGAAGAATCATGGGCATTGATTTGTGCATTCTAGATGTTCTTCTTAAATTGAACACTTGTGTAATTCTTTGTACACATGATGGAACAAATGTTAGATAAAGCAGCTCAGCCTCTCCAGGAAAGGGTTTTAAACTGTTTTGAAAGGAGACTTTTCCCTCTTGGTTTTCCTGAATATTCTTTCTAAGTGGTTCTGGTTTGACTCTGCTGGAGTGTTTTAGGCTTCTCAACCTTAAAATAGCCACAGAATTAGGTGCTACCATATTTAACACTGTGCAAACAAAACAAAGAACTGCAGAATCACTGGAGCAGGAGCTAAACAGATGTGACACCACTTATTTTGTATTTTCCAGTTATTTTCTGACGATGTCATGTGCTCTGAATCAGTTGGAATCCTAAACAACTTAAAGGCTCTTTTTATTCAGGTTATCAATCTCTTTTTGTTGTTGTTGCTGTTTTTTATTACCTACAATTAATAATGTTTTCCTTTCTGAAACTTGTATCAATGTAGATTTAGTTTTGTTCTATCTGAACTTGCACAGTATTTGTTACCTATGTATTAATCTTTTAGACCAGAAGTTCTTACTGACCAATTGGTAACGTTCATGTGTCCAAAGGTGCTTTTCTGGGGGGGAAGAGGGAGACTTTTTTTCTCTTCAAAAACTGAAAGCCGTTGTGAAACAAACCAGCTAGGTCTGAGAGCCTGGATAGGAAGGAGCGGAGCACAGAAATGTCAGTGTTCATCCCCAGTGAAATTCTCTTAATTGTTGAAAAAGAAATCGGCAAAGATAATTGTAAGCTAGGTTAGCACTGCCTGGATTCTGGTATTTCTCGGGGAGCTCTGAGCACCTTCTCTTCAGTTACACTGGTGTTGCCTGACTGTTTTGAGCACCAGCTCAGGAGGGCTGAGTCAAAGCATTTTTGCCTGTAATACCTGTGCTTTCTGTGACAGGGTCTCCGGGGCCAAGGTGAGGGAGCATCCCCCTGTGCCTGTGGTGCGCTGTAGTGGAGCTGCAGCCCAGGAGATAATTGAGGCCGGTTTGCCTCTTCACCACCACCCCCCAACCCTGCAATTCTTTGTTCACACTAGCTTCAAATGGAGCTGGTTCTTTGCTCATCATCAGCAAGTAAGCAGCTCATGACCCCAGCAGATGTTTCTGCATTTTAGGCTAATGAGAACTTACTGGATTACTGAAGTCTTCCCTGCCTCGGAGTAAATACCACTTTGTTGGAGATCCGGAAACTCATACTGAATATGATAAACAAACTGCTGGCTGGACTGTGATTGCCAGGACATGAAAAGAGTTCCACAGCGGCAGAAGATCTAACAGCTCTGAAATGCACCACTGAGCCACACCAATTAAGAGGGTTTCCAGTGATTATGTGAGCATTCCTGTTCAACTCACAAAAATGATTTTAGGTTGTTTCTTCTCCTGCATTTGTGTGTGGTCTGTAAAGCAAGCACAAGGGTGGAGGACTAGGTTTGCAGAGGGGTCTCAAATGCCTCTGATCAGTTTCTTTTAAAATATTTGTGTGGTAATATATGTGCAAGACTTAGCGAGTTTCCTGGTATTTCAAGATCTTAAATTTCGTATCTTAGGGAAGCAAACAATTTTCCATTTAAGACATAACTAATTTTTTGTTTATATAGACAATGTGCATTTGGAGATGACCTGTAGGATATTAAAGCTTAATTTCTTGTTTTAATATCTACTGCATGTAGGGGTGGGAAGTTAAACAGCTGATTGAACAGTAGAGTTCAGGACTACTGCCCAAAAAGATTCTCTGTCTGTGGCACTCAGGCTTTGTTGTGTATTTATTCTGAAATTTTTAGACTATTTCAGTAAGTGAAATGCTAAAGAAGTGACTAGGAGTGCAGCACTGATCCCCAGCTAAACCAGGATGAAGCTTAGGAGCTTGACTATAGAGCAATGTTAGTACACTTACACAAATTCAGCGTATTATGGACAGGGTAAGTATAGTATCTGGATGGGCAGTGCCCAAAGATGTTGAGAGCCCTTAACCCTTTCTTGCTACCTTTTTTGTCATAAGAAATTTGTCTTCGCCTAACTGAACAAAATCCAATTTCTCAAATTAATACGATTTTTATGATAAAAAGACACCTCTACTTGTTCCTAGTTAGAAAGGTGTCCAGCTGAATTTTTACTAACTTAAGTGTGGAGACTTCACAACCTCTCTAGATCCCTTATTTATGTATAAAACTCCCAAGCACCAGACTATGCACAAACTTCTATTCCACCAGTCATACACAGAGGCTGAGTAGAAAATTGGGAAATAATTTCTTACTAAATGTCTTAATGACAGCCACTTCTGATTAAGCACAGTGCTCTATTCATGTTCTAAATCAACATTGCCCATATGAATGATTTGTTAGTACTATTTCAGTAATTTTTGTCAGGAATTAAAATGTTATACTGCTCTGAAAGATCAGCCTCTCCTTTTGTGAATAGGATTAATAAGTATTTTTGACCAATATTTAATAACTGTATGCTTAATATAATTATTCTGTTAAATGCTACTCATAATCTTATTTTTTATGTGCTCTTTAATTATCCTTTCCTTGTAATTTAGTTCTAGAGATGCTTGTATTCCCAAGAGGCAGGATCAGTCTTGTTTCTACCACTCTGTATCTGGACCGGTGTAGTTTCTGTTAACAGACATTCTCATTGCTGGTAAGCTTGCAGTAATATGGCAAAGCCAATAGGACACTTGTTTTGCAGTTATCAGTTTCTACATTAGATATCTGTGTTTGGCTACAGAAAGGAGGCTGTCACAGAAACACAAAGGGAGAACAAAACTGGGAGTTAAAGAAATGGGTGTGGGGTTTTCTACCATGAATATAATGCTGTAAAAATTAACTAAGACCTTATTATTCTCTGGTGGTATGTAATGACTGACATGAATGTTTTTCCATTGATAAGGGGGGGACACAAATGACTGGCTTCCTTAAAGCCAGACTTGTACGTTGTTTTTTATTTTTCACTGAGCTTCCACTGAAATCTAGTGCGTATCGGACAGTGCAAAACCAAATAATTAATAGCCTTCTTTTTACTGCGTATCTTTCTTTATGTGCACAATTTATGCATGTATTCTCAAAATCTTTAAATGAGTGAGTATTCCCTCCCATGCCTTTAGGTCCAGTCATACTGTGACAAGTTAGTGATAACACTCGCTGAGGCAGTTAACAAGGGCTAATTATTAATGGTGTAATCTGACCACTTGATTCTTGTGAGTAGTCTTGCTGATTTGAATTTGCAATTGTGGTGAAAAAAAGGTGAAAGGAGGCACAGCTGAGAGTAGCAGTTCTCAAGAATTAGTATTATTTAGGGCTTAGTGTTAACTCTGGTTTTGTTTGACAGCTACCTGTCCAATCATTTTAACATTGCATATAGCTTATTTATCAAGTAGGTGGGACATAGGATGGGGGTGGAATGCTTTCTTTTGCAATGATGAGCTTGTACAAGCACTCAGGATATAAATTAGATCTTGTCAGAACCAATATAGGTGTATTCCCACCTTGTATAGACTGCAGTCCTTCCCTCACCTTTTTGACACACTGGTATAGCCACACCAATCCCCGCACGCTTTCGACCTGGACAAGTGCCTGAGATTCCTAAAATTTCATGAGGAGCAGGATTACATTTTTTGTAAACTAAATAAAAATCTGAACTATGCACAGTGCAAGCGGGTGGGTGAATATGGCCCATAGATTTGACTGATGAATAGTTTTTATACATAAGCAGTTCTTACAGAACTTCCTTTAAACTCTTAACTATTACCAGATGTGGGTTGCAGGCGGCTGCTGGAATTCCAACACCTGTTGCATCACACTGAATAGGATTCATTTTGGCAGGCACAGAAAATTCCATTTCAGTAACTAAATAGTTTGTAATGATATCTAAAGCCTCCTTTTTTTTTTTTTTCTTTTCTGACCAAGCTGATTCTAGCTTTATTTACAGGATTGCACATACTTTCATAATTAGAAGATGGTTTGCCGTCTTTAGAGACTGTAATTGCCTGATATGTCTTGTA